TATTTTTAGACAATATATAGATTATGGTTAAGATTCTGCTCCATTATTGTGCACAAATGTTTAACCCAATGTTGGATGAAGTTTTGTTAAAAACTCTTAACATGTTCAGTTTCCAATCTTAAATAACTTTCATACAAGCATCTGCCTGTTGCTCACCCATACAATAACCAATTTCGGAATTTTTCAAGCAATTTTTCTGTCCCACCACCAGTCACATAGATGGGAATTCTATCCACTTTTTGTTGGCCACCATTGATATCAGGTAAGAGATTTTTATCCCAATGCAAAAGAAGTGAATCATTAGAATAGATATTGACCTTGTCAGCCGTAGACATAGCTTCATGAACCAATACCCTTGTTCTACGAATTATGCTCTACAACAATAATAAATCAATTACTGAGTGACCAAAAGCCTGAGCCACTGTTCCAACCATGAAGAGTGCACAATGATCAGAAATATTAATCTGATCAAGAGATAATACAACATATCTGATAAAACCTTTATCTTCTATTTTGAACTACTTATGCTCGAAGAAATCTGATATGCATTATTATTCAAGAACTACCCCTTCTTGCACTCGCTATGTCCACTGCTGATGCAGGCTTGGACAGGAATGGCGTGCGATCGAGCACTATTGCTGACCACGCAAATGATTTTTTTCTTAACCACGATTGTATACGATTCTTGACCACGATTGTATATATGTTTTGATGATTTAAACATTTCAGAAAAGCTCTGAATGTAGAAACGCTAAGCTAAACTTAAACTAGGAGAAAATTAAAAAAAAAAATTTAACGAAAAAAAAATTCCTAAAGAAAAAAGAAACAAAAAAAAAATCTTTACGAAAAAGAAATTATATAAGCACTATAATAAAAATAAAAAATAAAAACTTGAACTCCAAGCAAAACTTTTTTTCACGTTTTTAATCACATTTGAAATAAATCTTTTTAAACTTTTTATTAAAGTTTTGCAAAACGCTGTTAAATTAACAAATTACTACTAACAATTGTTTAATAAATGAACAATTTTTATCAAATTTATTAAAAAGTGTTGTATTTAATATTTTTAAATTGTATAAACATTTATTTTTTCAAAAAAGTTGCAAAAAAAATTGTTTAAAAAAAATACGTCTTTTTAAAATAGTAATTTTTAATTAAGTAATTAAAAATAGTATTTTTAAAAATAGTATTTTTAAAATAGTACTATTTTAAAAAGAGTCTAGTTAAAAAAAAGGTTTGCAACTCTTTTATTCATAAAAATAGGAAATAAATAAATTAATAAAATGCACCTGCGATTTAAATTAAACTGCCAATAAGCAATTTAATTTAATTTTAATTTGAGCATTGTAACTTTATTATTAAGCGCTTCACTTAACGAATTTAAAAATTATTATAAATGATTTCAACTTATACATTCCTATCGTAAATGGAAAAAAAAAAAAATTGTTTTTCAAAAAATAAAATGTTTGTTTACAAGATTTTAAAAAATTGTAAGTTTTAAAAATTAATCATATGAACATTACAAAATGCTACAAAACTTTTCCATTAATCAACAAAATACATGCTTATATAAGTAAATAAAGTTATTTTATATTCTTGTATAATTCACATAAAATGTGTAAAAGCTGGTTGTGGCAAAAGGTTTTGAACTTATTCATAAAGTAAAGTAACTTAAAAAAAATCTTTCTAAAATTAATGCTTTAAAAGATTTTTAGGAAGACATGGGAAAATAGTTTCAAATGTTTAAATTTATCATGTCTACACAAAAAATAATTTATAAAAACATTTTTTATTAATTTACACACGCATTTATGTAAACAACCATTAAAAATAGTTAAATGGTTTTATTTTAAAGCCTTTCACGTAAAATAAAAACTTTAGAAAAGATCAACGATTTAAAGATATTCATAACTTTTTATTGCATTTAAATTGTTAAAACATCAAAATAGCTGTAGTCAAGTTGTAAAGAAAAAAAACTATTAGCGTAGTCAGTTACAGAGTCATACTACAACTTAATGCATAATACAGGCGACAGAGTGCTGATTTACAAATCTTATAAACAATGCAATTTTATTAATAAAGGAATTACTGAACTGTTTCCAGATGCGACTTGGATATATTTTTTTAAAAGAAACTTTAACGTTTCAATAATTTTATTGAAACAAGACGATAAACTTTTTGATTTTATGAAAGAAAAACTTGTACCTAATAAAATTGTACATAAAGTAGTTTATTTTAACATGTATTATATGAATTGCTCTGATGGGGGATTTAAAATAAAAAAAAACTTATGTATTTTAATATGTAGATTATGCCTACTAGTTTAGAAATTTATATTATCTGAAATTTCTATTCATTATTTATTTGGTATATTATTATTCTTGTAGTATTACTAATATTTGGTTAATTTATCTTATAAAACATGGCAACCCTTAAAATTGCTTCTATTAGTCTAATTTTTGGTACACATGACCCTTAGTGATAAGAGAACACAGGCAAC